TCTCAATTGTAGTGATAAGAAGTAACATCACCTATTGCAGCTTGACCCAAAACGAGAATGGTCCAAGTTCAAACCAAAGAATGGAGAGTCAATGGGTGAACTACACCACTTCCTATGTGACCCTAGTCATGAACAGCGCATCATGGCTGCTCGCCACTCTCATCTGCTCTTGACAAAGAATGATGGGACTCCTCTGGACACACGACACCAAGACCTGGTGTTCAGGAAGGTCTATGAGACAGCTCTGGGAAACCTCAGTGCGCAGGTTAGATGGTGCACCTACCATGTCATCGAACTGATTATTAATATTATTATTTTTATTATTATTATTATTATTATTATCATTATTATTGTTGTTATTATTATTATTACTATTAGTAGTAGTAGTAGTAGTATCATTATTATTATAATTCATAAGATTTGGTAAATTTCTGCTATTATTTTCTTAGTTTGGGATTTTAGATTTATTTGTCTTTTTAATTAGTGCTCTACTAGTCACTGATTATCATTTTCTTTGGTTAGCTTTTGAAATGTCATATCTGTAAAGTACCATATATTGTATATAAGTGATTGTTTTGAAAGTCTTATGATCTGATTTTTTTTTTTTTTTTTACACAATTGTGAATGCAGTCATTGAAGGGACTCTCATTTGCTCTTTGTTTTATCTCTTGTTTACAAAAAATTAGTGTGATATTAAACCTTATAAAATAACAGATTATGAAAAATATTTTCTATTACCTATCCCTCTTGCATTGATTTTACTTTTCCAGGGCACAATCCCTGAATCTTTTAGCAAAGATGAAGAGAATAACCGTGTGGCAACATTACTGCTCACACTGGGGGTTGTAGCAGCCAATTCGCCATACCTAGAGGCCAAAGCACTTTTTGCCATGTGCTTCTGGGCGCCAGGCAAGGAGGTGGATGCTGCACTGGTTGCTAGGGTCGTTACCAGGTAAGAAGTAACTCGTAGGTTTTTTACTGTCAAGTTTTTCGTCCATTGTGGTGTCTAGCTTTATTTTTTTGTTTGTTTGTTCATTGTATAAGTGTACTATAACTAACTTGAATTGGTCTCTTTTAATCCATTTGTTGTATTTGTTATTCTTAATGGCATAGGGTGAATATTATTTTTTATATTTTTGTTTACTTTCATATATTTATCCTAAAATTCACTTTTTTCATAAATGGCCAGTTTTCAATCATTATATTGGATAGAAGCTCAAATTTCTAAAATGATATCCTCACACTTACTAATTCCTCTCCCCCACTACCCTAGGGTAGCTGAATCAAGAGGAAAGCCACTTCGGAGATACGTGCGGCACCACCTCCCATACCTAGCCAGGGAGTGGCTGCAGCATGGCTATGAGGTAGATGCCTTCCCCTTCTCCCTGCTGGAGTGCACCAGTGCAGAGGCCTTCATTCGGGAGAACATAGACATCCTTGTGCCAGTTTTCTTTGAGTGTGACCAGATAGGCCAGCTGGATCACTTAGCCAAGGCTTGTACAAAGGATGTTCCACAGCTACTCCAAGAGGCTTTTCCTACACTTATGGCCTACATTTTCCCCTGTATTGCTGCTGAGACTGATGAGGCAACCAAGCAGCATCTGCAGCCTGCTAAGGTTTGCTGGGAGATAGATTGAGGGTGTTTGCTGAAGCTGTAGAATTGTTTGACTGTTTTGTCATATAGTATTTTCATGTGTATAGGGTTTACTTTATATGTTATCTTTTATAATAAGTCCTTTATTTTAGTTATCATTTCTCTTCTGACAGATTTTTGCAGCTCGTAAGCACTACAAATTTCTGGAAAAGACCCTTGGGTCAGACCAGCTGAACACCCTACTGGATAAAGACATTGATAAGATTACATTGACACTGCTTAAGCTTGTCCATGATCCCAATCCTATGGTTGAGGGGGAGGTTGTGGTGGCTCCCAACCCTCCTCACTTTCCCCCAATCATTGTTCAGAAGACACTTAAGTACCTGGGAGCTCTCTTTGGTGAGGTAAGTGGTTTCTTTTGGTTGTTTTAGAGAGTGATGTGGTTTTTATCCTGCTTGTGAAAAGATAGCTAGCATTATTATATATTTTCTGTCTTGGAGGCCTGGTGTCATGTTGCTGTAGTGACTATGCTAAAATTATAATTGGAACTTCCTAACTGAGTTGAGTTATCATTGTTTCGATAAACAATGGCTCACCAGAATGAAAACAGGAGAACAATCCCCAGTCATCAGTTGCCGTAATTGCCCATTTACCTTAACCCTCTAGTCCGTACCCACACAAAACACAGGCACATCGAACTCAGATTTCTCAAAACTGCTGAAGAGAGTGTATGCTTGCTACAACTTAACCCATTGCTGCTGGGGGAAATGCAGTACTCATTTTTTATATTTTTGTGAAATATCTCTGTCCATAGATGGCTCTGCTAGTCCTGATTTCAGCTTCCCTTGAATTAGCGGGAAAAAACGTATTTTTACTAGTGCTATAAATATAGATGGTGTTATTTTTAACAGCAAATTAGGATAACGTTAAATATTTTCGTAAATCGATGAAAAGGGTGAACGGGCGAGACAGGCAGTACTCGTAATTGGCTCATTGGATACTTAGTACAAGTGTAGCCATCTATGTGTAAAAACAATCGAACAAGTCAATTCACAGTGGGCATGGCATGTACGTACATGCCATCCCCGGCGGCAATGGGTTAACAAAAAATAATTGTTTCTTTCATTCTCCAATGCTACACATCAAAGATTGATAATATCTACAGTTATCATATGTAAGTACTGTCCATCTCTTGGCAGATTGTGTTATTTCTCTGCAAAGTGAATTGAAATGAAAAGTGTTTGTTAATCATGTGTTTTGAAGAGGCATTTGGTGTTATGTGGTGCCATGTTGATGGTAAAACCACAACTCGGCTGGAATGAAAATCTTTTTTTTTAGTGCTTCAGTCTTTGGACATTTATTGTGCATTGACAACCTTAAACCATGCACTCCATTCTCATGCATATGTGGTTCATCAGCATACACACAGTAGTATGACTGGCATGCTGTATGATACCGTTTTCTTCCATAACCATATGGTTCGCTGAAATGATTGACATTTCACCTAAATCGCATGAAACTCCAAATCATTCATTCTGTCTCCAAAATCATCACTTTGATCATTTTCACTTGCAGAAGTCCCATGTCATCAACAATTGAAATATATATATATAT